GGCTTGCCTGCAGGGGTACTCCCTGCACAGTACTCTGCATTTGTGGCAGTAGGCACATCCAGACCACACAGTTTAGCCTCTCCTTCCTATCCATACTCTCTGTTCTGTTTTCCTTAGCTACTTCTCCATCCTTACACCTTCCAGACATGGTCAATTTGCCAGTTAGCGTTTAAAGTTCCATAAACAGTAATATATTGGTTTAGTCTTCAAAACTTGTGAATGTCCCTCGTGCTGCTTCAGACAGCACACACTCATTTTGCCTGTTTTGCTAATGAACAAATAATATTTCAATTATTAAATGGATTTCTAAAAATGTACTTTTGGTCTCTGTTTTTTTATTTTTCAGAAGCAAATTATTTTTATATTTAGTATAGACTTTGTTTCTCCTTGGCAAATACTGGTACAACACTTGGTAATGATTTATAAATTATTAAAAAGAATTGGCAGGAATAGAATACTGTTACAAAAAAAACTGGGAGCCTTCTGTACAATTCTTCTAGACATGTCACACTTTCATTTAAAAAGTCTATCTTTTGATGTCTGTTTTTTTAACCCATGAAGCCCTACACTACGGAGGTGGCAAGGATAAACTTGGGAACTATAGGATACTACGAGATATTAACAAGAGAATATTGGTAGATTTTAAGTCTTGTCATACAAAACATTTCAGACTTAAAACTAGTCACAGTTTCTCATCTCAGTATTTGAGAGGGCTATACTTTCTTCGAATATGTTGAGAAAATGTGTGCAATTTGTATGTGCCTGTCATTTCCCTGAAATATGAGTTCTAGAATTCTGGTTTTTAATCAATTAAATCGTATTGATTAAAAACAGCAACAAAAAAACCCCAGCATCACAGACAAAAAAATCTTTGAAACCACAAGAAGGGAGGGTATTTTCATTTGGTGGTGTTTCATAGAGGAACAGATTTGAGCTTCCTGAGTGGGCTACTTTATATAACAGTCAGAGTAAAATATGACTAAAACTATGAAAAATATCAGGGCATTAGCCTTTTTAATGGAACAAAATGGCAATGTAAAATGTCTTTTTTTCTGTCTCAGAGAGATGTCAAGTCACTTTAAAGCAGAATAGGTCAGCGTCAGAAAATGCATATTGGTAATTTTTCACTGGATACATTTGCATGCTGAAATTATATTCAAAATACACAACATGTTTTGTGCCAAGAAAATGACTCCACAGTATGACCATCTGCAAAGCAGAAAATACTCTTGGACAGATTTGGAACTCAGCATGTGGTCGCTACTGCAGACAGCACAGTAGCTAATTTTACAAGAGATCAAGATAACTCTACACTGGTATTTATCTGAGCCTAGCTAATGAAACAGCATGTGGCTTAGAAAGGTGTAATGTGTGTCTATGTCAAATAACTTTCTTATTGGAAAGGAAGCAAATGTAGTCACGTCCAACTTTTCCAAACTCTTGGCAACAGTTCAGCCACGCAGATATGCCCAGAACTTCTGCTTTTGCTTTCCTTAGACAAGTATTTGCATGCACAAGTCCAGTAATGGCACTCTTAGCCTAGTAGCAATATCTATTTCTGGGCTCAATGTGTGGCTCAGGTGTCCATGCTGCAGAGGAATTTGCAAATTTTATTTGCTGAAAAAAAGGCAGACGTAATCTGCCCTATGCTGCCTGGCAATGAAGTCTGCAGCCTGTCTTTTCCACATCACCAGGCTATATGTGTCAAGACACCCGCCACCCCCAAAAAGATCTAGAATATTCTAAACAGAAACATCCTGGAACATTCCCCTGGAAAAAGGGCATATCGGTGTGGTGGCAGATATTCAGCTGTCCTTTTTCTTCTTGTTCTCATCAGATACTTCTTTAAGACTCCTTAACTCACAGGTGGGAAAAGTACTGTGCCTTTTGTTGCAGGTGCACAAAGAGTTGCTGCTAGGCTGCTCCGGCCTTGCCTAGGCAGAACTGCTTAATGAATATCTTTTCTGAAGTTCCCAGCATTTTCACCAAAAGCATTGTTAAATTAAACCCTGCAGCGCCTTGAGTACCTTTAGTATTCACAGAGTTTCAAACACCAAAGTTAAAAGAATTGTCAAATCCAAGTTCAGATGTCCTGCCTCATCTGCTGTGCAACTCAACAAGCTGTCACCTTTCTCAGGTCCTTCCCCCCACTTCCAGTCTTCCTGTAGACACTGGAAACACTGAGTTTGGTTAAACGAGATATTTCACTAAAACGAAGACAGGTAGTTGGAAAATTTATAGTGCTTTGTTACTGGGTGAGTGGATGTATATCTCAGCTTTTCAGTGGCTTTGTGCTCTCCCCGCCCTGCCGAGGCATGGCGTACAAACAGTAACAGAGGCTGCCTTGCCAACCCTCAGACCTGGGCTTCAGCCTTTTCAGCTGGTGCATTTCCACTCCTACACTCAAGTGGCAGTTTTGATCAACAAGGTCCTTGAGTCAGATAGGTCTATTGAGTAACACATTTTATGTCTGATTATCAGGAGCTGGCAGGCAGAAGAGGTAGTAGCAAAACCACTACAAATCCCAGCCCTGCACCAGAAAAACAACAAGTCTGTAAATGTTATCTGTCAGGTGTGGTGGCCTGAAAATTCCCTTTTCTTCCTATGTGCTCCATGTTGCTGCTAGAGAAAGAAGATGGTGGAGACAAATAGGAAGAGAAAGGAAGTTACGGACAAATTTATCCCTCAAGCACAGTTCACATCTCTGAAATCCTTTTTGTGAGAGGCAAAACTATGAGGGATCTCAATGTACGAATTGGACCACTGGAGGAGACAAAGAGGATGAAATGCTGGTGACACCTCTGTGTCAGCAGCCTGCAGCCAAAATGCCCAGGAAGCTCAGACAACCCTAGTGAAGCAAGAGGCGTGGGTCTGTAAGGCAGCAGTGGGCTGGGGACTGCCACAGGCCTGGACTTCCCACCCCGCTGCCTCCAAAGGACTTGGTTCAGTGCAAGAAAGAGATGGAAAACCACAAATTTTAGCTCAGTAGCAAGGCTGAAGGGATGGCTCTGTGTAACTCAATGTCTGTTTGCTTTCCCTGAGTCAAAGAAAAGCATTTTTGATGGAGAAGAATATTTCTTTTTCCTGCTTACATTTTCAGGAGGAACCTATGTCTCAATATCATGATGGTCACTGTGTGTGATGCTTGCTGTGCTGTATTGCTAAGATTCACCAGGCCTCCTCTTTTAAACCAACTGATTTTTACTTTGTCTGTAAGAAAAGTTAGTAGCTACTTCAAGTAAAACGTTGTTTGGAGTTAAAGAGGCATTGTGTTAAATGCAGGAACTAAATACAAGCCCTGAACTCTGAAATGGAGTGCTCTTGTAGCTGTGATGGCCTACGGGCATATGCAAGGCGGGGGTTTGTAGTGAGAGGCAATTTTATTAGATAAGCAGATGTAGTTGAGGAGAAAAAAAAAAGAAAAGGACAAGCTGTGGAACAAACAAGTTCTAGAAGAAAGGATTGTGTGCCTGAAAGCTTTTCCAACTATCTCTCTCTATAAATCTCACTCTTCTTCAGCATGACAGGACTTTAAACCTGCTGCAAGGCCTGTTCCACCCCCACAACCACCCACCCCCAAAAATGATTAATTCATGTGATTCTTTCAGGTGATTTGAACTTTGGATTGGGCCCTAGGTAAAAGCAGCCATTTCATAACTATATAGTGATTACTGATTGCAACTGGATAAATCCGTGACATTTGCTGAGCTATTATATATCAAATGCTGATATGTATATGACATTTCCTTCCTGACTCACTTGTTGATCCTGTGCATTCACCTAATGTGTAGTTGAAATACCATCCTGCACATGGCATAAAATTAAAACAATTCATGTTTTTATCAAGGTGATGTTTCAAGGTTTTGATTATTTTGACTCTTCTTTAGCTTGTGGTAAAGTCTCCCATTCTGTTGGTTTTGGGGGTGTTTTTTTGCATAAAATATGTGTTATTTGCATTTTTTTTTTAGGTCTAAATATAATGTGCTGTTAGTCTCAATTCATATTTAAAACAGTCAAACAAGGTTTGGAGTTATCTTTACTTGTTCCTGTGCAACATTCTGGTTTACAGTATCAACAGGACAGGTCTATTACAGCTTTGTAGCTAATGGTCACAGGAAGATCTCTGCATGCATGGGAGAAAATTTTAAATACTCACCAGACTGACTGCTCAGATAATAAGTTGTTAAATACTGAAAGGATCTATAAGATTTGTTTGTAACAGTATGATTTCAAGAGTTTTTGTAGTATACAGTTACTCTCCCATGAGAAACTATGAATTCAAATTCATTGTCAACATGCATTTCTTTCATTCAACCTGAATGTGATGGGAAGAATTAAGCAATATTAGAAAACTGAAGCAAAATGTTAATGGCGTTAATTTTGCTTACAATATAAAAATAGGGCCAAAAATAAATTCTTCAGATTGTATTGAGCAAATATAAATTACAATTTTTTGCATTGTATACAACATGCATATTACCAGGAATATTTTAGATTTCTGATATTATCTAAAGCCAGGTGGTTTTGCTCTGACTGGAAAAGTGTATAGTATAGTAGTGAGAAAAATGATAGTTACTACCCCTTTACAAGAAAGGTTTAAAAAAAGTTGTAAAGCAATGTTGATTAAAGACATGTGATCAGATTCCTCATGGCTTAATAAGGTACAAAAATGAGACCTGGAAGAAGGTATTAAGATGAATATTCTAATTTATGGTGAGAAAAGGTCTTTTTAAAAGTGAAAGAAAACATTTTTATCCTTTGTAGTTCTCAAGATACCCTTCCTTACGCTAACATTGACTTCTGCTTCACACTGAAGTAATCTAAATTTGAATGGCACCTGTTTTAGCCTTGAGAAGAGAGCTAACTGACCTGCTAACTAAACTCACTTGTGAACAGAAATATGGTCTGAAGCTGTTCTCTCCCAGTACATTTCAAGTATAATGAATGTGTGCTTTATGGCACACATTCATTTGCCATAAAGCTTTTTTCTGTCTCTTCAGGGAAGCAATCAGTCGTGTTTGTGAAGCCATGCCTGGTGCCAAAGGAGCCTTCAAGAAACGAAAGGTATTTTTCTTTTCTTGTAGTGCAGTTGACTGTATTTTCTTAGTTCAACACAGAGGATACCAGGCACTGCAAGCAGGTGACTTTAAAGCAGCTTTGAGAATTGCAGATCATAAATCATTTAAAGTATTGGCTGTTTTCTCCCACTGTATGTTGCCTCTTGCCCTTTTGGTCAGGACCTGCTTTTATAGGCATCTAGAAGTATGAGTACATCTAGGAAAAAGATTGTGGCTTGCCTTTATGTTGCTTCTGTAGAAATCCCCTCATTTTTCCTTTCCTTCTTTTGTAGATTGCAAGTGGAAGGGTTAAAAACACCAAAATAGGATGCCTTTTCATAAAGTGCTTGAGTAAATTGTGGAAATTTTGCTGAGGCCAAAAATAAACATAGTTTTGAAAGTGATTAGAACTGTTCTTGAAGCATAGCTCTACTGGTGACAATGAGTCTGGAAATTGCTGATTTCTGGAGATGGTGAGAATGTACCAGATGATCCTCTATTCCCTGTGCTCTTTCTATAAATATCTGTGGCTGATGCTCAGTGGTCTGCACTGATGGCAGTCCAGTGGGTGTTGGCCTGACATGGTTAATACCATGTTTTTATTCTTATTTGTGTGGTAGGAATTAGGATCTGCAGGCAAGGAGTGGAGGAAGCCTTGGCTCAGCTCCTGCACTGATGGCTCTCAACAGTCTTGCACAGCCTGCTCTTCCAGAGGCCTGCTTGCAAAGCTGGGATTTAATGCTATCTCTAAGGGAAGAAGCATAGAAAGCAGTTAATTATAGCCCTTCTGTGTGGTGTTGGGCACAGGAGGAGAATGGGCAAGTGGAGGAAAGCTCTGCCTGCTTCCCTAGCTGCTCCACCTCTAAGCAGAATCCCAGCAGAAAGGGATGGGATTAAATGCCACTTGTTTGCCATGAAGAATCTTCCATTGGTAAAATAAGGCCTATCTCACAGCATAATTGGAAATTGTCTCAGAAATTAAGGTTGTGGTTCCCCCCTACACACCACCAAATCTATCTCATTGGCATTTCTAGGTTCTCTGGCTTTTGTTTTTAAACCCGAAAGTAAACAGGAAAATATCTTTTTCCTTGGAAAGCAAAATGACACAAAATATAATTGGAATAGTAGGTTAAACAGAGTCCCAAGTACCTAGTGAGATACCTTGCTGTTTTCATGTTGCTTGTCAGTTAATGAAAAGAAATAGCATTTTAAAATTAAGTATACTGGCTGAGAAGAAAATTTGCTCAGCAACAGAATTTCAGATAAATGTTGAAGACAGATACCTTTTGCCAGTTTCTACTTTCATCATGTTTTTGTCACTAGCAGCTTATGAATTCATTTAAGGTGACATGTACTTTTGAGGCCAAATTTTCACATTTTACCCACCCTGTGGGCAGGTGATCCTTAGGCATGAGCTGGGAATCATGAAGGTTTAAGGAAAGAAGAGAAAGAAGAATATTCAAAAGGGCCTGTTTTAGAGCAAAGTCGTTATATAATGGGTTAAATCCTAAATTGGTGACAGAATTTGTGGGCTTTGTTTTGGGATAAGGATGCGATGATATGGGGAGCCACCTGGAGACCTTGAATTAGGAAGCAGGAAGCTGATGCATCTGAAAACAACCCCTCTTGTACATCCTTGACTAATCAATTAAGTTCTCAGAAAAGTATTTAGCACATCAGCAAAGACTGATAAAGTGAACTTTGGATGAACTAGCCTCATTAGCATAGTAAAACCACACCTCTAGAGGAGAAAAAGCCCCCTACTCACAAAGCCCACCCCTCACTGAGCATGCATAGTGAATTTAAAAAGTACTGTACCTTTAAACCAATGTAAAAACGGAACTAACCAATAATTATATGGCAAGCGTCAACAGCAGGCGTTAATAACCACTTGGAACTGTGTAACTAGGTACCCCAATTTCATCCAGGTGCTCGAGCTTTGTGGAAAACCCCTTAGCACCCAGCCTTGCGCAACTGTGGAATAAATCAGTATCTTGACCCAGTGTGTGGGCCAGTTTGTTGCACACTGGGTAACAAATCCCAGTTTTTGTTGGACGACAAAGTTAATGAAGTACTAGCTCTCTGACACGACAGTTAAAATAATGCAGCAAAAATGTGACATATGGGCATTATGTAGGTAGCATATTTTCAGTCAATTAAACAGAAGGAAAAGAACCTAAAACTTGATATATGTAAACTTTAAGGAGTAAAGAAGCACAAGTGTGCCCATCCTGCTATGGAAAATGCTTTCCAAGCTTGCAGGCAGTTTAGGAAAAATGCAAATACAGTGACAGCAGAACACTGCATCCAGTCACAGTTTGCTTTTATATCCTAATAACCGGCACTTCACCAGTGCACGTACAGCGAATGGAAGGACTTGGTCTGTTATTGCTGGGCAGCCTGATTTTGTACGGGCTGTGGTTACCTGAATGAGGCTGCTCTCATGCAGCTGTGTGGTTCCCCATAGCTGTCAAAAGATGAGAAGTTTGTAAATTTTGCTTTGTCAGCATAACTTGTATTGCTGCAAAACCTCCTAAGCTATAGTGAAAGGCCTACAAAAGTTATCAATGTTGTTACATCCCCTTTATTACATTCCAACACTCTGTACTTAACTCTCCGAGTTAGGCATAATCTTTAGCTGCGTGTTGTACCCCAGCATACAGAGGTTTTATGCTGTCTGGGCTTTTACCTACTGTTAAGAAGTCTACAAACATAATGACACTATGTATCCCTTTTTGTGAGCATCCCATCAGTATCACTGGAGTCCCACTTTCTATGCGGGAAGGAGTTAGAGCAGGTAGTAGATGCAGAGCAAAGAACAGATTGAATTTCAGGAGTTGAAGCTGGTTTTATGGAATAAGAACGTTCCATTTCAAGAAACTGATTTAAAGTATTAATCTTAATCTGCTCACTTGGTCCCTTGGTGAAAATGAGACTTCACTATCTCACAAAAACCCAATTTTGTTAGGTCAAGAGTGGACGAATACCTACCTGCCTAGCTATTTATTATTATTATTATTATTATTACTATT